CGCGTAATGCGCGTGAACCATGTTTGGACAGAATTGTGACCGGTGATGAAAAAATGGACTCTCTATACGAATATCAAACGCCAAAAACAATGGCCCAGTCCTAGACAAAAACCACTTCTCACCCCAAAGCCTGGGCTCCATCCGCAGAAAGTGATGCTTTGCATTTGGTGGAAAATCAAAGGAGTAATTTATTTTGAACTCCTCAATCCATAGCGAACTGTCAATGCAGAGATCCATAGTCAGCCATTGGAACGTTTAAATCAAGCCCTTCATCAGAAATGCCCTTCACTCGTCAATCGGAAAGGTGTTATTCTTCTCCACGACAATGCACGTCAACATGTGGAGTTGGGTTGGTAAGTTCTTCCCCACCCACCATATTCTACAGATATGGCACCATCAGATTACCATCTTTTTCGTTCGTTGCAACACCATATTAATGGGAAAACGTATGCAAATGTGGAAGGTGTTGAAGAGGACATCGACATGTTTTTTTTCTTCAAAGCCAAGTGATTTCTTTAATCAGGGTATTAACAACATGATTGTAAAATGGAAAAGCATCATTGATAAGAATGGAGACTATTTCATTTAATAAGTATTTTGTTTTTATATATAAGGTGTTCGGGTTTTTTCATCTAAAAAAAGCGACATAAATTTCTTGACGACCTAATAGTTTCACCATGATAGTTTTTCTATCTTTAGTCAAAACTAAGTGATTTCAGAAAACAGCAGGAATTTAAACAGTACTCATGAATTACAGTTCAAAATATAATCGTCCACATTGCAACTCAGATAAATTTGGATCACGTTATTTATACATATTTCGTAATAGTAAACAACTCATTCTAATTACGTTCTTTCTTAAATCATGCAGGTAAAGGTGACATCTTTGGTGACGTGTTCTGGAAAGAGCCTACGATTGGCCAGTCTTGTGCTAACGTTCGGGCCCTGACGTATTGTGACATCCACGCTATTAAAAGGGATAAACTTCTGGAAGTACTCAATTTTTATCACGCCTTCGCCAACTCTTTTTCTAGGAACCTTTCTCTAACTTACAACCTGAGGCATAGGGTAAGATAATATTTATTTGTTTCTCTGTTGCTGTTTTTGAAGATTAGCTCAGTTTTTTTTTCTTCACTCACAAAATGTGCCCTAACCTTGCTTACATTAATTCCACTTCTTAAGAAGGATATCCTAATATTCTTGAAACCACCTTCTTCATTGTTGATAAAGATCATTTTGGTTGCCGTGGTTACACACCGATGTCTGATATTGCAGTTTCTGTTATAACAAGCTTCTGCGAATAATGGTGAGGTCAGCCTTAAACCGTACATCTTGACAAACTATCCAAAGATCTTCCATTTGCGTGGACATCAATTTTCAAGAACACAAAACATTCAGGCAGATTAAAGCCACAAAAGTCCATTGAAGGTGCATCAGGAAGGAATTGGTTTGACAATTATATGGTCGAATGGGATTTCTGTGAACCCAGTCCCTTCTGCCATCTTTGTTATGAAAGCAACCGATGGTTTCGAAATATGGTTGAAAGTTTGTGACCCTTCGTCAATTTTAAATCCTTGTTTACTACGTATCTTGTTAATGGTCTCAGGCCGAGCATCAGCAGTTTTCTTTTGTTGTTGTTTGTTTGTCTTTTTGGGTGGGATCTCTTTCGTGATCATAGCCTTTACTTTGCTTCTCGTTGGCTTAAAATGTAGTCTCTTAGCCCTTTGTTTTCACCTCCAAAAATGTGAGGTTAATCGCATTGGAGTTTAGAATTTTGTACCACCATGAAGAAAAGGTATTCCCCTGGCGGAATCGTAGCCTTTCGTGATCATAGCCTTTACTTTGCTTCTCGTTGGCTTAAAATGTAGTCTCTTAGCCCTTTGTTTTCACGTCCAAAAATGTGAGGTTAATCGCATTGGAGTTTAGAATTTTGTACCACCATGAAGAAAAGGTATTCCCCTGGCGGAAGCTTGGGACAAACGGTTTGCATATATTTCTGTAAAAACAAATAATTTATTCAACCACCTTGGACTAGGAATAATATATGTATCGATTTTGTCAAACATTAAGTAAAATCTATATAATAAGGGCAACTCTCAAGGTTTAGAGACAGAATAAATAAAGAACAACTAATTCTGTATTATACGCTAAGTTTTATAAAGTAACGTGATCATTATTTCCAAGTTAACCGGAATACAAGCTAACAACAGTTTCGTAACACTAGTGATAATGTGTGCATGGCATTGTTAATTTTCAAGCTGTGCCTAATTAAACTATGAACTATATGTGCATTTTCTATTTAGTTAATATTTTAATGATATAAATGAGAGATTTAACCCTAAAATTAAAATTTTAAATTATCTGGAACAAGGGGAAAAAATAGCCCTCTTTCACCAAGATACTTCTGAGTACTTTTACTATTGTTGTTGGCTCTTTTAGCGTTGTTTTTTATATTTAAAATTTGGACGTTTTGTATTGTTTGTTAGAGGGAGCATGATATGAACTAATGATGATGTGTGACGACTAGAAATTTCTTGAATTCCATATTTGAAATGACGTCTCGAATGTTCTAGAGTTTTGGGAGGAAATACTGTATAAATATACCAGAGTTGGTGAAAAATACAGTGAATTAATTTTACTTAATAATACTTGTCATAAAAAGTAAGTACTAGGCCTATTACATTTATTAACACTACATTCTATTAGTTAGTAAGAAAGTCAGCTCAACGCTGTAAATCATGAATTTGTGTTTAAACGTTAACAAAGTAGGCACTCTACAAGTAAGTAACTGTTTAGATTTACTTGTGAGATAGGCCTATCAACAAACGTAGCCTGAAGAACTGTTGAAGAAATAAATCGGCTTCGTTGTCGTTAAACGGACTGTACTTTGCAATATTTTCATCAAATAATCAAAAAGAACTCGCCAAGCCATAAAATCTGTTACTAAGGTATTATTTCTTAAGGTTAGGAATCCTGATTAACAGCTGCAGTTCTCTTAAAGGAACAGGTAATCCGTCTTAATATACAGAACAAACTGAATCACGTTTTCTTAACTGCCAGGCTATGAATACGACGATGCAGTCTAATTAAGCTTAATTATATTAAAAGCACACGTCCAGCTTGTACTAACTTGTAACACTACTATCCTTTGTAGAATGTAGCACGTCACAAGAATGAGAAGATGATGGTTTTTTTTTCTTTTTTTTCCTAGAATGGTACCCTACAAATAAGTATAGTGGATCTTTATCTATAAAAACGGTTTTGTAATAATTGATAGAAAATTATTGTTGAAAGATAGTATATTGCTAACTGGCCTTGAATTATGACTGATCTTTAACATATAAAAAGGATAAATTAGGAAATATGTTGTTGGTTGTAAAGAGAATGTCATCAAGAATTAAACAGTTTGGAAGATAGGACGTTTATTATCTCTTTGCTTAGAGTATATAGTCTATGACGTAACGCAGCATGAAAAATAACACCTTAAGAGTGACGTAAGAGCTTTAAATTTTTGCCAGTGGGGTCAACTTTCAACGAATCTGATTTTGTGAGATATCACTTACACCTGAAGGACATCGTTATTGATTTTGTCAGATATCACTTACACGTGAAGGACATCGTTATTGATTTTGTCAGGTATCACTTACACATGAAGGACATCGTTATTGATTTTGTCAGATATTACTTACACTTGAAGGACATCGTTATTGATTTTGTCAGATATCACTTACACGTGAAAGACATCGCTACTGAGTAATCAGTGACACTATAAAATATATTAGTTTTTGTTCTTAATTTTTGATGAGTGAAAATTTACAATCTCCAAATTGGAAATTTCATTTTTATTTAGTCCCCACCTGAATTACTCTCTTTGAGGATTACCGCTGCTTTTATACAAAACTAGGGGGCGAGGGGTAGCGATTAAACGTCCTAAATGTGTGGAAATAACTCAGTTTTACACATTTGTTTTTTCAGGACTGATCGATTGTGTTTCTTATTAAACTGTATTTTACCACATAAATGAGAAAGGTTTCATGAATGTATTGAACTTTAATTTCACAATTTCCAAATAAATGTTTTTAAATGAAGAACTTTCTCTTTGTAAAATATACTTTCCTGACTTATGATTTCCAAGTACGACAACGATAGTTACATGTAGATAGTGAGAATATACTTTCCTGACTTATGATTTCCAAGTACGACAACGATAGTTACACGTAGATAATGAGAATATTTTTCCTAACTTATGATTTCCAAGTACGACAACGATATTTACATGTAGATAATGTCATCTTCTATATGGTGTTTTATACAAGATTATGAAGGTGCGAGTAATGAACCAGAAGGAAACTGTGCCTCTAAGAAATTTCAGAAAAATTCATAATCAAGGTGGAGAAGGTATTTCTAGCTCGTAATGAAAATGTGGAAATAGTAATTACTTGTAACTTAAAAGGCTGCATAGTGACTGGTGAGTGTAACAATTAACAGGCATGGATGGGGGGGGGGTGTAAACAAAAAATCGTTCCCGCATCTGAACTGATAGATTGGAACACAGGGTACATTTCGTTGTAAGGGGTAAGAATATTGAGCTGACTGTGGGAAGAAGGTGATAGGATAAGTAGAATCGGTAGTGGAGATACAAGAGAAAGGTTGAGATTGTACAGTAGGTGCAATCACGTGCAAAATTTTCTGAAGAGGTAGGAACATAAAGTGGACAGGGAAAGGTGCAGGTTTTGTCGCAGTGTGTGGGTCGTTGTGGACTTGGCTGAAGGTTTTAAAAGCCTCGCTGCGAATTTACCGCCCCGAGAGGTAATGACCTCAATGGATCTAAACCTACGTGACAGAAGGTGCTCAGCCGACGATCGTGGGTCGTGCTGTTGACACGTGTGCCTCTTTTTATATCTCTATTTCGCTTCAAGAAGACTCGAAGGTTGCATGTTTATTACGTAATAATTATATTGTTCAACCGAATAGGAACTTCGCCCGAGGAACGGAAAATATATACAATCATAATATTTTGAATCGAATATTTCGTTTTAGCTTCATTTACTGAATGCTAACCCCAAAAACTTTTGGTCAATGATTAAAAAGTCTAATAATAATAAAAAAAGATTACGAAAACTCATTAAAGCTGTCTTAAAATAGAGAGAACAAATAAATACATATTCTCATCCTGTTTTTTTTCTTCATCTGTTCTTCCAAAGACAAGAAAGGAAACTAGACAATCAATAGATTCTTGATAAAAAAAAAACAAGAAACTTTTAAACTATCCCGCAAAAACGTAATTTATTCGAAATTACATGAAATCATATCTATTCGAGAAATTATTTTCAGTCTTTATAAACGAAGTATCTTATTTCATTTTTAGCTACAAGTGATCTTAGAACATAGCTGGAATATATCTTTGTGTAGTTTTGGGAGTAGTTTCTAATCAATACCAGAAGAGTAAATCGTAGCCATATTGCTTTCAAACTTTCCAGTACGGTTGAATAATGTCCATTAAAACTCGCCACTCTCTCGAGACTGGACACTGTTTTTACTAGATTGGACAGTGCTATGTATTTACGATAGAGGTTAGTAATATTAGTGTTATCATACTTATACAAAAAAAAATAGCCACGAAAATTTTCGTATCAGTTACACAGTCTCAATATAAGTGGAGATATCACAAAATTCAGTGACATATTTTAGTTCAGTGTGTGGTTAGTCTACTCACTACCAACTAACAGTCATATTAGCAGAAAAAAGTGCACGTTTCGCTGCATTTAAATACTAATTAGAATTTTAAATATCTGATTTTTTAGTATTTGCTTTCATTTACTATTGTAATAATTAAATCAAGTAACTCGTAGATTTCCATTACTACGTAGATGTACTATTGTAATAATTAAGTAACTCGTAGATTTCCATTACTACGTAGATTTACTATTGTAATAATCAAGTAAGTCGTAGATTTCCATTACTACGTAGATTTACTATTGTAATAATTAAGTAACTCGTAGATTTCCATTACTATGTAGATTTACTATTGTAATAATTAAGTAACTCGTAGATTTCCATTACTACGTAGATTTACTATTGTAATAATCAAGTAACTCGTAGATTTCCATTACTACGTAGATTTACTATTGTAATAATTAAATCAAGTAACTCGTAGATTTCCATTACTACGTAGATTTACTATTGTAATAATTAAATCAAGTAACTCGTAGATTTCCAT